CCAAGGCCAAACCTAATTTTATGATGACTAGTACAAACAAGACCTAATTAATGTGGTGGTATGATTGATATAGGATTATTTATCTCCTGATTCTGGATTAGCTACGTACAATTACCAACAACATCATCATCAACAAGTTTGTATAAACTGCTGAGTGGCATAAGTTTCAAACTTGTCATACACTGAAAGTTGGGAGTTTTAAATATGTACTTTGGTTTTAGTATGTAACTTTTATTTCAACTACTTCCAGAGGTTGTCGAAGCATCACTTGGCCTGGCCCTCATATCACATGCATGACACTGCGATAATATCTTTGAATGTATTTCCAACTCCATCCTTATTCTTCAAACCTTGGTCATTCATGCCTAGTTTATTGTTTAGCAAGTCTTTAAATTAAAATAAAGTATACTAACCCCATAAGAGAAGAACAAAATGTATTGAGATAAAAACCACCTTTTACAGATGGATTGGATTCCCACATCTTCAAGCATAAGAATATAATAGACAATGACAATGCATCTGGTGCAAATTGCAATTCATTTGCGATAAAAACAATACAAGTTGTAGGTATCTAAAACGATAGGATGCATGGCTAAACAAAAACATTCCCCATTTTTGGCAAACAACATAAAATAGCACTCTTTACTCTTTGGCTTCAACTCTAGAGTACAATTCATTCTCTCTTCTCTACTCTTTTGGAGGACAATCCTTGAAAGAAAAATAACCAGTATAAGAGTCGCACGTAAAAGAAGATGTTCCTATTAATTTTGGAATGATTGGTTTTGTTAATGTTTTTTTGTCTTTGGTTTTATCTAAGAGGATGCACAGAGTTGGCAAGTTGTGATGCCACTGCAGAGTACCCAAAGAGAGTAAAGTGGATGGTGGAGATACTAATTTTTCTACTTAGGATATCAATTATTGACAAAGGGTGAGAGTCTGTAGTATTTTCTTTTTATTTAGCTTGGTATGTCAAATTGTTTGCCACAACTCCATAGGAGTTGGATGTTTATTAATTCCTTGCATTTCAAAATTATCTACACGTTTTTTTCTTTTTCTTCTTCTCTTCTTCTTACCTCCATTGGAGATGTTCTTATTAATTTTGGATAGTATTGATGTCACTTTCATCATATCCACTTCAAATTCACTTTTGTTTTAATCAATTGTTCAAAGTTAAAGCAACAACTCCAATTCATCCTGTAAAACAATAACACCAGTTCAATCACCGTAATTGCTAAAATTGGTTAGACTAGCCTTTCTGCATGCTCGGAAACGCGTGTGAGAGGCTTTTTTTTAATCACACACACTATGGGTGACTTACAAATTTTTTATTTTTTTATGTTTTTGCAAATGTATCTTGCTAGATGTCCATTTCAACAATTGCTTTATTTAATCACGTGTATAAATTGTTGAGACAGACATCTAGCAATATACAATTGCAAAAACATAAAATGGACATCTAGAAAAATACAAGCGATAAAGAAAAACTTTTAAGACGACTATTTATCACACGCGCGTGATTAAAATATGAAATTGTTGAAATTGATATCTATACAAATATAATTGCGAAAAAATATTTATGAAACTTTGTAAGTTGCGTGTAGTGCGTGTGATTAAATAAAAGCCTCTCGCACTCGCGGATTGATGACAAAACATATCATCGATATTAGACAATTGTTACGCATTTATTTCACTCAATATATCGTATACACAATGCATTATTGAAGATAAAAATGTAGGTAATCCAGACTTCAATCAAATATGTAATAAAATTTTCATTTATATCCATAGATTCGATATATTATAGTGTTATATTCTATTAATTTAAACTAAATTACCCATTTAATCCCCTTAATTAAGTTTTTAAAAAAAATTATAAGTATTTAGGCAAGTAGCAAAGGATAAACTATCAAAATTGAAGGTGAGTATACATATCCCAAATTATGCTAAAATTTGATTAGTACAAATTTAAAAGTATATGTTTAAGTTTGGTCTCATCTCATGTTATTTATGTATAGATTGACAAAGAAAAAGTGAAAGATCAATTAGAGAGGACTGAGTGGCGCAAGTGGTCTTGATCGTTGCATGTCTTCCTCATATGTGAATATTTATATATATAGATTAACGTGTGGGTAATTAATTGAATAAGAATCCCCCTAGCTCCTAAAGTTTATTAGACTAGCCTCCCTGCACGCGCGCTACGCGCGACTTACAAAATTTCGTAAATATTTTTTCATAATTGTATTTATATAGATGTCCGTTTCAACAGTTTCATATTTTAATCCAATGCGTGTGATAAATCGTCGTCTTAGAAGTTTTCCTTTATCGCCCATATTTTTCTAGACGTCCATCTTAGCATTTTTTCTTTTTCTTTTGTAGCGTGTAAGCTACTAAGATGGATGTCTAGAAAAATATGGGCCATAAAGGAAAATTTTTAAGACAACGATTTATCACATGTGCTAGATTAAAATGTGAAACTGTTGAAACGGACATCTATATAAATACAATTGTGAAAAAATATTTGTGAAACCATGTAAGTCGCACGTAGCGCGCGTGATTTAAGAAAAGTCTGTCGCACATGCGGAAGTGCGTGCAGGGAAGCTAGTGAATATAGTAGTAAAATTTTCAGACGAAAAAAGAAAGAATATAGTAGTAAAATTAACTTTTGTGTTTTTCATTTTTGGTCCTCATAAATATAAAAACCAAACTCTACCCCTAATTACAAGAAACTTTCATGTAACAGTAATATCACTTTTTGCTATTTCCGGCCAATAACGTAATGACACGTAGGATAACTTTTCCACATCTTATTGTGTTATTGGCTGAGATAGCAAAACAATGATATCCCCATTACATGTAAGTTTTTTTGCCTGACCACGCCACCTCACCAACCTGTGTGCTACGGTACACCATCTAACTAACCTATACATCATTTAGCCAACTTAGGTGCTACACCATCTAGACAAAGTTTGTTTATGTTTCCTTTATAATGGCTTTTAAAACTGATGTATTCTCATGTATTTTCCTTTTTTCTTCTTTAATTTGCTGCCCACCTACTGGGTATGGGGCAAAGGTGGATCCATGTATGGATTATAGAGTGAGCTCTAGTCCAATGCTAAATTTCAAGATGAAAAAAATTAGTGTTAATTTTATAAGTCAAACTCAGGTTAATTAAAAATAGTCTACCCCTCTTTGTTGACATTAGCCTATCTCAATCATAAGATTTCATCTCTAGAAGCACCTACACACATCAAACATCATGTTTTTATGTTACCCATCCATGTAACTATAACCTTATATTTGAACTTGAGAGCTTAGAAGTAGTGGGTCTCCTTCTCTTTAAAAGTGTATTAACCTATATCCAATGGGTTCTTTAATATTAGTAAGTTTCTCTCTTACTTTTTGTTTAATTTCCAATTTCAATTGTTATTGTTAGCTTTTTATGATTTTGGGTGTTAAATTTTGAATTTTATTGATGATTCATCCTTTTTATGGTTTAATCTATTTACTTGTCTAGTTGTCTCTTGGTTTTGTTGAATGGTTGTAACTTAGGATTCTGCAATTATAGATCTATATGACTGCACTCCCTACTTCTATTTGTACTCCCATAAAATTTAAAAATTGTTAATTGAAGAATAGTTGTTACCATTCATTTTCTTTGCATATAAAAAAAAAAAGTACCGATAGCCTATAGCCAATTAACCACGTAAACCTATTTTTAAGAAGATGAAAAATGTAATATAATGGATTTCCCATAAATAAATAAAATTAGCCCACCCCTTAAAATTTCATGGGTCGGCCCATGGTATGGGATGAAAGAACAAAAAAAAAACTATTAACCTGCATAAATGGATGCAAAAAAATATATATCTTATTGTGCCCACAAACTTTTGCTTGTGTGATATTAGATGGGTAGACAAAAAATAACTCCTAGGTTCAAACACTGGGTATGGGGTGAAAGAACAACAAAACTATTAACAGGCATAAATGGACGCAAAAATATAAGTATCTTATTGTGCCTACAAAGCTTTGCTTGGGTGATATTAGATGGGTGGACAGACAATAAATCTTAAGTTCAAGTTTCTATGATAAAAGTTTGGTAAATATTACATTTTCTCGTAGCTCCCACCTTTCCTGCAATCAACTATGAATTACACCTAAATATTTTTTATTAAAAAAAAGCATGAATATAACCAGAAGAAAAAAAAATTTACAACATAAAGGCAAACATTCCATGAATATTTCCAGAAAAAAAAAAACTAAATATTTGTGTTTTAAAAATAAATATAATTGTTTTTGTTGGAGCAAATATCACAATTTTGTAGTATTATGAAGACAACAATTTTAACTTTCTTCAATAATATAAACATTTGTTTAAAAAAAGTATTTGTATTTTGGAGCAAGATGCTCACTAAACTCTAGCCAACGTTAACTTTTGGGTTAATTTCAAATTAATATCCTGAACTTTCACTCAGATTTATTCATGTACTCTAAAATTTAACAATCATGTACTTTAATTTTTAATTTTTTTGCAATATAGTTTCGGCTTCACCCAAAATTTACGTTATTACCTATGTGGCAAGTCTAGTTTTCACCCGTTCGCTTCTTCCAATGTTAGTTAAAGGGTATTTTCGGGCAATTGTTGTCTTATGCAAGCACTGTTATTAAGAAGCTATGACACATTTTTTTGCAAGTTTGGGTGGGAAGACAACAATTGCCTAAAAATACACTTCAATTGACATTAAAAGAAGCGAATAGAATGAACACATGCCTGCCACATATGCAATTAACATGAATTTTGAATGTGATGTTAACATCGTAACCATATTGCAAAAAATTAAAAAAATTAGGATACATAATTGTTAAAATTAAGTGCATGGACAAACATGCCTTAAAAGTGAGAATTCATAGCACTAAATTGAAATTAACCCTTAACTTTTATTTGTTTTTGTTCAAAAGTTCAGAATCAGAGACAAATATTCAGTCATAAACACCGTATTAGAGAAAAATAAAGAAAATTAACCTGAGGATTTCATCTTTTTTGATTCCGTTTATTACCAACTTTGTCTTCTTCTCATCATCTCCATCATTGGATGTTTCACCTACTCCACTCTCCTGTCACAAAACACAGACCATAGTTCTTATCGAACACTCAAAACTCAAAACTCAATCCCATTTCTCATTTCTCAGAATTCAGGCAGGCCATGTCCACCTTGTTCTTAATCTTGTTCGTCTTCTCTCACTCCCTCTGTGTTCTGCAAACCCAAGGCCTTAATTCAGCTGATGAAGTCAACGACTCTCTAACGTACCTATGGCCTCTGCCTTCCGAGTTCACCTTCGGCAACAAGACCCTTTCTGTCCACCCACAGCTCTCGCTCGTTGTGGGCGGGAACGGAGGCAACTCTAGCATTCTCAGACTTGGGTTTGATCGCTACAAAGCTATTATATTCAAGAACAGTCATGGGGTTTCTTCCTTTGATAGAATAAGGGGGAGGAGACTGTCCTATGATGTTACTAAACTGAAAGTTGTGGTTCATTCAGATAGCGAAGATGTGAGTTGGGTTTTTTCATAAATTCAGAGTTTGTATTTGTTTTTGAGAAAATGATTGTGGTTTTGACTTTTGATAGCGAGTTTGGCTATTTTCAGCTTCAACTTGGTGTGGATGAGAGCTATACTTTGTTTGTGCTGAAGAAGGATGGCCAATCGATTGTTGGGGAGGCCACCATTGAGGTAAATTGAGGATTGAAGATTGTGGTTTTTCAATTCTTTGGTGTATTCTGACAATTAGATGCAGAAGGAGATGATAATTTGTTGTGAATTGCACTGCCCTGTTCCCTGGATGGGTTAAGCTCTTTGAGCTAGCAATTTATATCAAGCAAAACATATATATGCTTTCTCATCCTGCATTGAGTGCACTTCATGAGGTTAACAGATAACTAAAAAATGGGGATGAGAGGTTTTAAACCAAAGAAATAAGAATGTCTTGCAAGTCCGTAGTACTAAAACTCTGGCTCTGACTAGTACATGATGCGTTAACATCAAAATTAATCAATATCGACTCACATTTTGGAGTAAATGAATGGCAAAATAATGGTATGGATGTGCTGACGTTCCATGGATGTTGATTTTTGTTCCCTTTCTGGTTGCAGGCAAACACAGTATATGGTGCTCTGCGGGCGTTAGAGGTATGTATGATTGTTACTCCATTGTGTTACGAATTAGGCATGTTGGTGTACATGCCCATGTATATAAGTAGGGGGGTTGTTTTCGTGAGTTGGACTGCAACTTGACTTCCAATAAGGCAAGTGAGGAAGAGAATGAGGTAGGCACTAGGGAGAGACAAGCTATCATTAACTGGACTTTGTACAGATGACCAACAGATGGAAATCATGTTTCCTCCATCTCTTGCTCTCTCAAACTGAGATGCATGAGTGAACGCTTACCTGATCCTCTGTTGGGTTTGCAGCTGCCAGTCAAATGTCAAATGTTACTGGGGTACTGTTGATCTAGTCCTGGGTAATGCATCACTTGTGATAAGTTGTTCCTCTTACTGGTGGCTCCTTATCAAATTACGCCATTTTGAAATTGTAGAATAACGATGTCATATGTTCCTCTGCTAACTCCGGTGGTTGTCAAAATATCTGCTTGAAATGGTTAAGTATTTATTGCTTACTTATATAAATAATGAGAATGAAATATTTCTGGATTAGTAATTGAGATCACTGCTTAATTTGTATTCATGATAGTATGCTTAACAAATCTCTCATTGTAAACAAATAGGCATGGCTATGTTTTGTTCCAGCTTCTCCCTTTCCTTATTCAGTCTTCTCTTTTGCAATGTTCTAGACATTCAGCCAATTGTGTACTTTTGATTACGGGAGTAAATCTGTACAAGTATACAGGGCACCCTGGTACATACGGGACAGTCCAAGGTTTGCATACAGAGGGCTTTTGCTTGGTAAGCTACTATTTTTCATGAAAGAAGGAATTCACTTCTAAGTTCATTAATTAGTTTGTCCTATAATGATTCTTAGTGCCCATATTTTTCACACTTTTGCAGATACATCAAGGCACTATTTACCAGTTGACGTGATTAAACAAGTAATTGAATCGATGTCATATGCTAAACTTGTAAGATATGTTACCCAGGAGGGTTTTTCACTTGGATTCATTTAAGCACCTTCCTGATATTACACTATGATTTGTTTCTCTAATGTTTTTTCATGTAATACTGATGTTGCGAATTACATTAAGTAGAATGTTCTTCATTGGCACGTCATAGATAGAGAGTCATTTCCTCTAGAAGTACCTTCATACCCAAAGTTGTGGAAAGGTTCATATACAAAGTGGGAGCGCTACACAGTTGAGGATGCAATTGAAATTGTGAGGTAAGATTTCTGTAGATTATTCAATCCTCATTAGCTTTTGAACTTCTTTGAAGAGCTGAAGATTTTTTGTGTATTCCGTATTCATCCTAATCATTGCATTCTAGCTGTTGAAAACAGAAAGTACTATGATACATCATATCTTCAGAGAATTTTACGATGGATTATGAACCTGAATGGGACTTATTTTGAAAACTGTGATAATGGCAGTGATTATTACTGATTATCTTAGAGTGAGATAAAATAAAATAGAATGCTTGCAGATGACCAAAAATGTGAACCTGAAAAAGTAACTACTGAATTATTCTTGCAGCCCTCTAAATATATAGCCACGTCTTCTTGTTTAATCTGCATATCTGATATGCAGTTTGTGCTTTCATACTCTTAAATAGACTAATTTTGTGTTTTCTTTCCACATGTTGACATGTTAATGTGAAGCTTTGCCAAAACAAGAGGTGCGTAGTCTTTATTTCCTTACTGGGCTAGAAAATAAGCTTATGTTCTTTACTATTGCTTGTTGTGTCCTTAGCCTAGTTGGACGCGATACAATCTATTTTACATATTTTACTTGATCATTTTGCATGTTGCTGTGGCAGGCATCAGTGTTATGGCAGAAGTAGATGTCCCTGGTCATGCAGAATCATGGTAAAAATCTTTTTCAATATCATCTTTTGTCTTAAGATAATGTTGTGGACAGATTAACTGCCCTCTTAAGCTAATGATTTGGACATATTATTGTAGTTAAATTATTTTTAGTATGATAAAAGTGGATTTTTCAGCCTTTCCCATCAAGTAGCTATTTTCTCTAAGCTAGGATTTGATGCTTAATTAGTATGGTCTGATCAAATGAAGGGACATAGCTTACTTAGCTTTGGTTTCGTCAGTAATTATTTTGTCATGGCTGTCTAGGAACTGAGAGAGTGAAGAAGATATTTAGTTGTCAATATAATACCCAATTCTTTCTATACAAGTAATTTTTTTCCCTATGATGTCATGTTGTAATCTTGGATAACTTCCACTGAAAATGATTTAGAGAAGTTGAACATCACAACATGCTTACTGCTTACCACTATCTAGAATCGTCTGTGGAGAAAATTCTTTTCTCATTTACTACTTGGTCTGGCAGAACTGAATTTTTTCGTGTATGGTACTTTATTTTTGTGCCTTACCACATGGGCGCTTGCAGGAAACTTAAATTACAGTAGCAAACAGATCAGAGTTATTCTGACATTGCATTCTCATTGTCAAATAGTGCTTTTTGGTCATCTGGTAAAACTGCTAATTTATGAAAACTCAAACCTGTTCTTAATTTTCTTGCGCAGGGGCGCTGGATATCCTAATCTTTGGCCTTCCACTTCCTGCAAAGAGCCACTTGATGTATCAAAGAGTTCAACTTTCGATGTGGTTTCTGGAATTCTGACAGGTTAAGCTCATGAAAACATTTACCCTGTTATTTATTGTGTGCTTATAGATTACTTACTGTATGGGGATCGAGTACTTCTCTCTCTCTCTCTCTCTCTCTCACTGATTACACACTTGATGCATAGAAGTAGGACCTGAAAATCATGAATATCATGTCCATGTATGATTTCTACTTTAAAAAATGTATATTGTCTATACCTACTGTGGCAAATCTTGTGTTACGCAATTTTAGTTTCCAATGTACAGATATGAGAAAGATTTTTCCCTTTGAGCTATTCCACTTGGGCGGTGATGAAGTTAATACAAGTAAGTAAAACCTTTTGTTCTAAGCTAATATTCTGCAGTCATTTTATTTACACAAGAATGGAGAAGTTTACTCTTTTTCTTTATGCGACACTAATCTTTGTGTTATTTTTTTATATAAATTTTTTCTGATAAACAATGAAATTATAAGTACTTTGCTTTTATAAAATTTTGGTGCACGCTTAACTTTCTGAGCTAGAGAGTGTTGTATTGTTCTCTATATCCTGATAAAGTCTTAGAGGAGAATCGACCAATTATTATTTGTTCTCCTTCCAAGAATTTGAAGGAGTACATATGTTTATAGTTTACACCTACGTTGAGATATCATAACTTGTAAGTGAGCGGATGACTTTCTTCTCCTTGCAAAATATGATGGATCTGTGATGGGTTATATTCTAAGGACCTGTATGTAAACTCGTGTATCATGTGATTGTAAATTTTCATTAGATGTCATGTGCAGAACCTCTCTCTCTGTGTTGTTTCATGTTTGCATACGATCTGATGTTATTTCAAAATTTGACAGCTTGTTGGAGCTCCACTCGACACGTGAAGCAATGGTACTCACTTCATTTGGCCTTTTCATTATTTTTCAGAGCTTATATGATTACAATTTGCATGTAATCTTCTACCTTTCAAGCGATGGTTACAATTTGCATGTAACTCTGTGCATTGGTCTTTATATTTGTAGGCTTGAGCAACACAACATGACTACTAAAGACGCGTATCAGTATTTTGTTCTCAAAGCACAAGAAATAGCAATTTCAAAAAATTGGACCCCGGTAAACTGGTATGTCTAATATCAATAGAATTGTTACCATCCTTTTTTGTTCCCTCGTAAATTCTTGCTAGGTTTTTGCATCAGTTTAAAGTTATGAATCAACAGCTTTTAAATAAGGGAATTCAACTATTCAAAGAGTGTTTCGTTGTTTTTGTTTCTCAATACTGTAAAGAATCATGTGACAGATTTAAGTTTTCTTACCACAGGGAAGAAACCTTCAACACCTTCCCAACAAAGCTCAATCCAAAGACTGTAGTGCATAACTGGTGATTTTCTTCCCTATGCACAGTTTTGTGATGCATCAAGTGAAGCTCTAATGGTCTTAAGCACTTTGTTAACTTTATAAATGCAATAGGTTGGGCCCAGGGGTTTGTCCGAAGGCTGTTGCCAAAGGTTTCAGATGTATTTTCAGCAATCAAGGTGTTTGGTATCTTGACCATCTAGATGTCCCTTGGGAAGATACTTATAATGCTGAACCACTTGAAGGAATTAATGATGTTTCTCAGCAAAAGCTTGTTCTTGGAGGAGAAGTATGCATGTGGGGTGAGACAGCTGATACATCAGATGTTCAGCAAACTATTTGGCCTCGAGCTGCTGCTGCTGCAGGTAAGTAGTGAATTAAGTTGATTTAGAGTCAATCTCCCAGGTGTGATATGTTGGTACTGTGTGTTTTCTGGGTACTCTTCAGCTTGAGATTGAATGCCATTTCATTTTCCCTGTAGAGCGTTTGTGGAGCAGGAGGGAGGCAACATCTGCGCGAAATGGTAATTTGACTGCACTGCCTCGGCTACAATACTTCAGATGCCTCTTGAATAGACGTGGAGTTCAAGCTGCTCCAGTGACCAACTTGATTGCTCGAAGTCCTCCAATTTGGTCCGGGTCATGCTATGACCAATAATACTTCGATTATCATATTAGGTGATTTCATTAGTCTTAAACTTCCCTTCCAATGCTCTACAGATAAATGCAAGCGTTCTAGAGATTTAGCATTTCTGTTGTTCAAACATGCATGCCTATTTATGATAGCTATTATTGTCAGAATTTAAGGTTTAGAATCTTGGGCTTCTTGATGTTGAGATCATTGGCTGGGAAATATTATGGATCAGAGTATGTTCATTGTATTTGGAAAAATGGGTTGTTGTTGCCTTAGCCTAGGCGTTTATTTTTATTTATTTATTTATATATAATTATTTAGTATTTTAAATTTTAAATTTATACCAAAATCATTCAAAATAAAAGGATATGTAAATTATAAAGTACCATCATTGATATAAAGTCTAACACGGCCGTCTTCCAACCCCTCTCTCTCGCTCAGAAGTAAGTTATAACCCGCGACCTCTCTCTCTCTCTCTCTCTCTCTCTCACACACACACACACACACGCATATCACCATTGTCATCTCGTCCCTGGAGATTCTAAAATGGCCCTTTCTTTCTGGGTCAGACCTGCCCAGACCGCCTAGGCTGATTTTTAAAATGCCGGTCTTGGCGTAGACCGATTCTCTAAGACCATCTCCAACCATGCTGGGGCTAAACTCAAATTTTCACCCTCCAAAATACAACTATTCATGTATTTTCAGGACTCAAAATTTTTTTTCCTCTAACCTTGCAGACTCATAATTTGAGTCTGCAACTTTATTAAATTGTTTAAGAATGATTAACCCCTAATTTTTTTTTCTTGTTAATTTTTCTTGATATTATTTTTGTTTCAATACTCATGATTTAATTTTCTAAACATTTTAACCTAAAAAAATTAAAATTTCAAAACATAATAGAATTTCACTTAAAAATAAAAACAATTACAACACCATACGTATGCCCGGAATAATTTGAACCCTTCATTGAAGCCATTGCCATAATTTTCTTCTATTTTTACTTTTACTTTTACTTCATTGGATTCCTTTATCCTCATTGAATAATGTTCTGAACCATTTCACATCTTGTGTTGTTTCAATCACGTTCTGAACCATTTTTTGTGACTATTCATCTGACTTTGCCATTGTTCATCTCTATTCATCTGACTTTGCCATTGTTCATCTCTATTCATCTCACTTTCCCTTATCTCATTCTCTTGTTTATTTAAGAAGTGTCATTAATCCTACCCATGAAATAAAATAAAAATCAAGTTAATAATTGAAAACAATTAAAATTATAAATTTAAGCATTGAAAAAAATGGGTACTCACCACATCTTCAAGATTGGAGCCACTCACATGCCTTGCATTGGCCTTTGTTAGACATGCCTTCCAAAGAGAACATTGTTGGTTGATGATCTTGAACCGAGAAGCAATAGCTTGCGGTGATCGTACCTCGGCTCCGCTCATGCCCGGATCATTTTCCAAAAAATTTTGGTACACACGCAACCAAAATGAATCATTTGATTGATTCGTGCCAATAGCCCCATCTTCAGATACAGAAACCCACCCTCTACATAATGCCTCATCTTCTTGTGGTTTCCAATTCACACCTCTTTGGGGTTTTGGGGCCATTCTCAACAAGAATGAATGTAGAATGAAAAATTATAACAAAGGGAGAAAGGAAAACAAAGGGAGAAAGGAAAAAAATGATTTTTGGTGGATTATTTACCAAATGAATGACTATTTATAGAGTTTGGAATAAGTTTTGGGGTTGGATCTGACTTAGATTAATTATAAATATTAATTTGACCGTTGGATTTAAATTTGAGCCGTTAGATGTAAAATTTTGATGTTGAGATTGCCTAAAATGAATCAGAATCGTTGATTTTATAGCTGTTGGAATATTTATATTTTAAAAAAAAAAAATTAACAAAAACTTGAAAAACTAGCCGTTGGTTGTCAAAACTGGAAAAGGAATGAAGATTCCCACTTGTCAAAGTGGGCCAGCAAACAAAGTTGGGCACATGGGCTGCTGCTTTCCTACAATAAAAAATTATATGTTAAAACAGATTGGGCCCCACATAATTACCAGTCCAGGCAGAATTTTGGGTGAAATTTCAGTCCAAGTTTGAGGCATCTCAAATTTTCACCTCCCAAAATACATGGGTTGGAGATGATTTTGGGAGGCTAAACTCAAAATTTGAGTTTCCACCCCAAAGGTTGGAGATGGTCTAATGTGCAGACTTGGAAAGATGATGGGGTCGAATTATGTACTCGACCAACATATGAAAGGAAGAAATGCGAAAAGATGCTATCCGTCTATCACATGCATGGCAATATCTTCTTCACGAATCTGTTTGATTCTCTCTCTGTCGTTATTTTATTTGAGAGGGAAACATGCCCACGTCTAACTGATCTAGTTTATTTCATGGGCTTTAATCTGTTGTTTGATGGATTGTGATGAACCATTGAATATAATTTATCCTTGAAAATCAGTCAGATCGCACTTGTCAAGTCCAGGATAACTTGTCAAGCAATCAAGAAATAAACCATGAAAAAATGATGCCAACACTGACTAAAACCAATTTCCTTCAAATTCCGCCAAGAATTTGACTTTGCTTTTGCATTTTTCTGACCTAAATTTGTGTGGGAGTCTAAAGGGTCATATTCATGGCTTAACGAATGTGTGAATTTGGGACTTTCTAGGTTCATAGTGTCACTTTCCTCCCTCATTAAATGTGAAAATTAGCAATTAGTTTAGTAGCAATCATTGTTCTTTGTTTTTCTTCCCAAAACGTGACACTTCTATGTTGAGGGAGTCTGGCACCACAAAATTTAAAGCAATTATTTGGACTTTAAAAAAAATATATAGTAAATTTAAGTTTTAGCTAAAAAAAAATTTTTACTTTTGAAAAAAGCCAATTTTTTTTCAAAAAAGACAGAAAAACCTTTCAACTTTCAAATCAAAGACATGCAAATATAAAGGATTCCTTAGGAAATCCAAAAATAAATAAGGGCAATTTTGTCCATTTTGGCTTCTTTTAAAAAATTTCTCTCTCCTTTGTCTTTTTACAAAGTCTCCCAAAAATTATTAAGAGAATTGGTGGAGGTCTTGTTTCAATCTCTCATTACTTGTGTCATTTGATAAAAAGAATACTTATCAACTATTTGCTATTTAGGGTCACAATGCATCAACGGCTCAAATCATTTATGCAAACACGAATGATATTAAGACAATTTATTGTGTCATTAGGTTGGTTTGACGAGTCCATTGGGCCAAGCCATCACATACATATTATTTTTGTAAGTAAATATGACGTTTCTTTCGAATGAAAAAAAAAAAGAAGGTAAATATTATGTTCAAACTTAATATCTGATTTTTTAATCAAAATTTTAATGATACTACCAATAAAAGTTGCTCCATCCTAAGTTGGAAGGATTTGATTATCTGAATCTTTGCAGGAGTCAATTATCTGTTGTAGTGCAGTAGTCAAAATTCAAAGTTACTAATTTGGGTCTTTGTGTTTTGACTACCCTAACTAATTTTTTTTGGTCCAACCAATTACCAAATTTAGAACTGTAAATCTTCACCATAAAAATATAACCAAAACAAGAAAAATGCAAAAATATGGAGAGGGGAAAGAAGGAAAAACTCAATAAGAGCTTATTATTAAGAATAAAAAATATTATCATTTGCCCTTAAATTACCTTTAAAAAATAAATGATGGAATTATCATTGGTCATTAATTCTGAAAATGAGAGGAAAATATATATATATATATATATATATGGGTATGGGTATATGGGTATATGGGTATATGGGTGGGTTTATAAAATGGGTCTGTCAGTCTCTCTGAAACAGTCAAATAAACAAAGAAGAAGCAATTGAAAACCCACTGTCTGCATACTGTATCTTTCTCCTTCGCTCCCCTTCCCTCCTGTGCCTTTGCCTCCTCTCTCTCTCTCTCTCTCTCACAGCTCCCAAGGCTTCCCAGTCTCCTTCACAGCTCTGCTCCGCCTGTCTCACACTTCCTCTCTCATATCTCAATCTGTAAGTCACAAATCTAATCTCTCTCTCTCTCTCTCTCTCGCAGTTTCACATCAACGTAGAACCCTAGAAACTCACAAGTTGCCTCGTTTTCAATTGGTTTTATTAAATTTCTCCTTGCCGACGAATAATTTAGGCTTCAGCTCAAGATTGGGTTTTCCATTCTACCCTAACAGTTTTCGCGTCACAATTTCTCTTGTTTTTGGCACGTTATTGATTTAATTTGCTGCTAATTTTTCCAATGACTATATGCTTGGAACTTTTGATTTGGTGTTGATTAATAAGATTACTACGATTTTGTGTTTCTGTCAGAGTGTGTTTGTAGCTGATGCTTGATCTGATAGGGTTTTGATTCCTTACATTCTTGTACATCGGAACCCCATCTCGTTCTCTTCCGGTGGAGCATACTAAAGCAAAAATGGAAACAAATTAGAGGTTTTTCAGATTTCTGGGTTTTGCACTAAGAATTTCAATTGGGCATGGTGAGTAAGGAGGATGCCTCCGCTACTTCACGGCCTCCGGCCCAGCTTTCAAGCTCTCGGAAGATGTTCTGGCGCTCAGCATCATGGTCTGCTTCACGGACCACCCCTCACAACCCTGAGACTGAGGAAAAAGACCTAGTAGATCCAAATGCCACTGTAGGAAACAGTGTCCAAAACCACCGTAGGTTTCCTGTGCCTTTAACCCCTCGGTCCCAGCAGAATAGCAAGGCTAGGTCTTGTTTGCCCCCCTTGCAATTACCTCTTGCTCGACGTAGCTTAGATGAGTGGCCCAAGGCGGGTTCGGACGATATTGGTGAGTGGCCACAACCTCCTACCCCAAGTGGAAGAGGTGGTGGGGAGAGGTTGAAGCTTGATTTATCAACGATTCAGCGAAACCCGGAAAAGAATGGTGGGCTTGTGAGGAGGGATAAGATTGCTTTCTTTGATAAAGAGTGTTCCAAAGTGGCCGAACACATTTATCTTGGTGGAGATGCGGTTGCGAGGGATAGGGACATACTTAAGCAGAATGGGATTACTCATGTTCTAAATTGTGTGGGTTTTGTTTGTCCCGAGTATTTCAAGGCGGATTTTGTGTATAGAACTCTATGGTTGCAGGACAGTCCGACTGAGGACATTACTAGTATATTATATGATGTTTTTGATTACTTTGAAGATGTTAGGGAACAAGGTGGAAGAGTTTTTGTTCATTGTTGTCAAGGGGTATCTCGGTCCACCTCATTGGTGATTGCGTATCTTATGTGGAGAGAAGGACAGAGTTTTGATGATGCATTTCAGTATGTGAAAGCAGCAAGAGGCATTGCTGATCCGAATATGGGTTTTGCTTGTCAGTTGTTACAGTGCCAAAAGAGGGTCCATGCTTTTCCTCTTAGCCCGAGTTCACTATTGAGGATGTACAGAATTGCCCCACATTCACCGTATGATCCTTTGCATCTTGTCCCAAAAATGTTGAATGATCCATCACCTGCTGCTCTGGATTCTAGAGGTGCATTTATTGTTCATATACCGTCTGCCATATATGTTTGGATTGGTAAGAATTGTGAGGCCATCATGGAAAGGGATGCAAGAGGGGCTGTTTGTCAGATTGTTCGGTATGAAAGAGTGCAAGGTCCAATAACTATAATCAAGGAAGGGGAAGAACCAGCTTACTTTTGGGATGCTTTCTCAAACATTTTGCCATTGATGGATGGGTCTGGCAATGGAGGGGAGGTTGGGGAATCAACAGTTAAGATTCATCCAGGTGAAAGGAAAACAGACGGATATAATGTTGATTTTGAAATTTTCCAGAAAGCTATTAGGGGTGGTTTTGTACCTCCATTTGCATCCTCCGAGAATGAACACGAAACCCATCTTCCTGCTAGAGAGAGTAGCTGGAGTATGCTCAGGCGTAAGTTTGCCTCTGGCAATATGAAGGAGTTTGTCCTAGCACCCAGGATATCCCTCTCCAGGGTCTATTCAGATTCTATGATGTTAGTTCATACAGCTAAAAATAATTCATCAGCGTCCTCTTCATCTTCATCGTCCTCCTCTTCTTCACCTCTATATCTATCACCAGATTCCATATCTTCTGAATCAAGCACTAGTTCGAAGTACTTTTCAGAATCCTCTATGGATTCTCCATCAGCAGCTTCATGCTCTCTTCCAGTCTCTTCAACATTGTCAAATGATTCTGACATGTCTCTCCTCTCATCTAAATCTTCTGATCAACCCATGTCTAACAGTCCAGAAAACGTTGTTTCCAATTGTAGTTCACAGTCCTATTCTCGATCAACCTCATTACCATCCAAAAAGTTATCTTCGCTTGCAGAGCGCAGAGGTAGTTTGTCTCTCAAGTTGCCTGTGATGAGTGATAAGATGAGGCTGATGAGTACTTCCTCAAAATTTCTTTCCACTAAAGAAGATGGTGTTAGGATAAATGACAGTACTTGTTCTGTAGGTCACATAGATGATATTGACAAGGTATTAGAGCCAAAGGATGGTGTTCAAAATGGAGGGGAATATTCAAGACAACAGTGCAACATATGCCAGAAGGAACCTTCTTTTATCAAACATTGCCCTTTGGAAGAAGGTGCAGGATCATCTGCCTCAAAGGAGACTGGGGAAAGTTGTCCAGCACAATGTAATTTTATGCAACCTTTTGTATGCCGCTGGCCCAGTTTAGAGAAGATTGCTACATTTGGTGTGAGGGAACTAGATTCTAAATCTGCTTTCACTATTTACTCACCAAATACAGGTGTTGGAAAAAGTGAAGACAGTGTTTTGTATCTTTGGGTAGGAAGATTTTTTCACTGTGGTAATTTTCCGATTCAATTAGATAGTGGCAGAGAGAGAACTGATGTAGAAGGGACTGACTGGGATCAAGTTAGCTGTGATGTCCTTATCCAAATGGGTATGCCAAAGGACACAATAATTAAGGTATGGAATATAAATTTGAGTTTACTTCGACCTATTTCTTAATTTCATAATTATTTTTGGTGCTTGTGTTTTTAGGGCTCGGTTAATGGAGCTTGTTGTAAATTTAGTCTGTTTGCTGTAAGGTTTCTGTTACTATCTTCTATATCCATTCCTACTATTTTCCATCTCAATGGATTTGACTTGTGATTGTTGAGTTACTTGACAGCTGTCAGTGTTTTTTTTGGTGGAGTTTGTCATCTGTAATTGTTTGCTGTTGGAGTTTAGATTTATTGTGTAACTTATTTTGTTACCAAACTCAGCAGTCGTTACTCTTATTTATTAAACCGTTGTCATTACTCAGCAGTGACCAGTTATATTTCTGGAAGTACTAATGTGTTCATTTATGGCTTGTTTGGGGTTTAAGGTATCTATGTCGATGTCTTTGTGTTCATTCATTCTGTATTTCTTCAAAGTATCACTTTCTATTGGATTAAAGCCTGTGGAATGCATGCTTGTCAATTGTTGGTAAATCTGACAGGGTTTCTAACTGTGACCACTGAATGCTGTATCTGAACAGATTGTTAAAGAAAATGAAGAACCAGTGGAGTTTCTCGAATTGTTGAGTCTATTGTAGTGCCAGTGCAAATGAGGAGAGATCTATAGTCCCATTGCTCAAATCAATTTTCTGTTTCTTCACATGGCTTAATTTGCAGTCCAACATTTTCAGGCATCAGGATAATCTCCAGTGGCAAAAACCATTGAGGTAATGAAGTTGATGGTAACCATTGTTGAACTAATTTCCTCCATGTATGTGACATGCTGGTGCACTATTTTTAGGAACTGCGAGTGGGATAGTAACTCTAGATGGCTATTCTGTTTAGACAAATTCACCGGTTATCAAGATGCCACATCCTGGAAGGGTACCTTTTGGTGTACCGGAACTGACTTAAGTTGGTTCCAAATTGAAAGATAATGAGCTTTTGGTTGGAGTGGAATTAGGATTACACTGTTTTCACAGTCATGTGGCAGGTCACTAGTGAATCAACCTTCCCTAGTCTGATGATCTTGTACTGAAATACTAGGTTAACTAACAGGGTGCATGCAACCTTAGGCCATTTCACTTGATTTTGTTCCATCTCCTGCATGTAAACCTGTTTTTGCTTATGCACTTTTTTATCTTTGAAGTTGCTGAATCACTTGCTATATGGAACCAGACCTTGTTTGCTATTATTTTGGGCCAGCTGCAGTAGGTGCCCCTCGAAAAGTCTATTAATGTCTCCATTTATATTAAAAATCCCCAATTAGAAGTGAATTTTGATTGGATGGTAGTGTCTGATACTGCTAGCAAATCATCAAAACCGAAACCAAGTAATATAAAAAGAGTTGATGTAAATGAATTGAGAAATGCTAACATTGTCTTGGAAAAGTTCCATTTGAAAATGCTTCATAATATTTTCCTTGATGTCATCTTTCCTAAGTAAAATATTAAAAAAAGATGGAGTTTTCAAATAAGGATTTTGAATAGCTGGGTCCATATTAATTCCAATCAGGATTGTTGACCTTTATTTTCCCCGAGTCTTTACTTTGCTGTGTTCTTCAAATCCTGACATAATGAGTTTTGGACTTTGCTGTGTACAGGAAGAGGAGAATGATGCTGGTCTCTAACTGCCTTGTTGCTAATCAACTGGTTGTACAGTGCTGTAACACCCTGGTAACTCATAATCAGATTTTTCTTGTATATTCACTAATACAAGGACCAATTCCTGAATGCCTTTTCAGGCCAAGCAATTTATATTAAACGTTCCATTCTTAATGCTCTCTCTCTCTCTCTCTCTCTCTCTCTCTCTCTCTCTCTCTCTCTCATGATGTACGCGGGCTTAGATTTCAATAGCATTCCCAACTTAAAAAGAATGATAAGTGAAAATGGTTGTAAGTTGTAACAATTTGATTCCATTGAGCACTCTCATCTAAATCAGGGAGAATATTTGATGAATCAGTTTTGTCTGGGTTTGTGAATGGATTTGTTCAATACAAATTATAACTAAATTGAGCTATTAAGATCCATGTTTAGTGAGTAAGATCAAAATCCTAGTCATATGAATGAAATAAATCTTATAACCCAGCTAGCTGTTCTCGTCTATACGGATTATCATTTGTGAAATAAGGAATTCTCATCTTCAAAAGCAGCCTTATAATGATCTATTAATCATGTAATTAAAGATAAATCCTGAAACAGAGGATGATAATTAATGAGATAAAAACAACAATCCTAGTTGTGGGGTAAATATATTATCTATCAACAGGTATTCACGACCAGTTCACTTCAGGCTTTTCTAATAAAATTATTGATCAGTATTCTTGACGGCATCAATGGCAATCACCAAAATTAAGTACATGTAAAAAGGCCACAAAGTTATGTTTGCCGAGGGGGAAAGCACTTTTGTGGATTTGCTTTTTAGTCTTGTCTTTTGCCTCTAGGCATTGCCACTAAACTCGTGGATGACATGGGTGGAAGCTTAGTCAAACTTTACAAGATCATTGAAAATCTCAGTGACACATACTACAACCTGCTACTAACAAGGACGAGGCCTTGCTGAAATCTACAACACTTTCTGCTGGAGCTAATGTCCTTCGGATTTTGACCAACGATGATCCAAAGGCCCGCCGAACAGTTCTGTTTTGCGACCAGTTGCTGCTCTGTCTCAGACAACCCTAAGCTATTTGTCCACGCTGCAGAGGAACTATAGTCCCTCAAGATGTATATTGCTTCACCAGCAGCAACTATAAGGCGACCCTTGAGATGACAAAAAGAAATTGGAAATGTAGCCTAGTTGATGGAAATGTTATTTTGGTAATAAAGACACATTTATTGGTAATAAAGATTTGTACCTGTAGAGTTGGCTTTGTGGTCGACTGATGCAGGGTCCAAGGTGACCCCCCCACTTCGTGATCCATTCACCATTCCAATTTTGATTTTTTTTTGAATTCAGGACTCCTTTCTAAGCCTATAAATGGGTCTTTTTTAAAACGCTTAAGCATATGCTGCCCTTCTCCTCTGTCCTCAATATTGCCTGAACACCAACAGCGCTACTGTGAGTTTGAAGCTCCTGATTGACACAAAAAGCAACAAAGTTCTGTTTGCTGAAGCAAGCAAGGAAGTGGTGGATTTTCTCTTCACTCTTCTGTCCTTGCATGTTGCAACTGTGACTAGGCTCCTCCTCTCTAATGGTGGCATGGTTGGTTGCTTAGGCAAACTTTACGAGAGCCTCGAAAATCTCAGTGACACATACATGCAACCCAATCTTAACAAAGACTCCCTGCTGAAACCCAAGACAACAATTTCTGGCGCTAACATCCTTCGTTTGCCAGCCAACAATGACTCGAATGCGCCTAAACGGTTCTACCTCTCTGCAAATTGCAACCGCCATATTTCTGATTGTCCTGTAACAACTTGTCCAACGTGCATTTCACGCAAAATATCCACCCAGGTGTTTTATGCTGCTCCTCCACCAGAGCCTACTGGAGTGACGTCTGGCAATATTAAGAGCGGATACGTCAAGAGCGACATTATGTACATGATAATGGATGATTTGGAAATGAAGCCTATGTCTACTGTATCAAGTATCACATTGCTTAAAACGTTGAACTTTAAGACGGTTGATGCTTTTGAAGAGAAGGTGGTTGATCTTGACATTGAAGAGGTTTCATCTCTTTTGTAAAATTTGTTTTGTTTACTCTGTGTCTGTTGATTGATACTACATATTTTGTTTTTGCTTTTGCTTCTTAGGGTTTGAAGTTGGTGAAGGCATCATTGGAGTCAAAAACCGCTCTTACCAATGTCTTCCTTGGAAAGAAACAGCACAAACTTTTCAACTTTGGTCCTCTAGTGATATTGAGCTTTTGGGGTTTCATTTTGGTTTGTGGATTGGGATTTCTATTCTATTACCCTGGATCATGTAAACTTTAGTCCATTGATTCTATTAGTTTCATTCATTATATCTCAAGAAAACTCATCCGCCATCGCAACAATCATTCAACTTTATCGTTGATCCAGAACAAATAAGGAGGCCAATTTTGTACTGAGGGAGGTTGAAGAAATCAAGCTCATCTATATATACTGATTCAAAACATCGGAAGAAACTGATGAATTGTCAAAGCCTATCCTGCTGATTGACACAAGGGGTCATCTGAGTGCAGCCGTTTCTCTACGATTGCATTTTAACTCTAATTTCACAACATATCAAATGATGCAGCTACTGAGTATATTTTAGAATTGAACTCAAACAATTTGGCCTGGTTTGTGTAAATTCATATTAAATGAGTGTTTTTTAAATTACTTTTAAAATTAATAGTATAGCCGCGCCGTGTTTTTTTTAAGTTTTATTCCAATTAATAGTACAGCCGCTCGGCTATACTATTTAAATATGATATGTCAAAAGATAGTATAGCCGGGCAGCGATAATCCATTTTTTTAAAAAAATTATTCCAATGAATAGTATAGCCGGACGGCTATACGGGTTAAATATAATATCTAAAAATAGTAAGGCCACGCCTTTAAACTCCGTGTTTTTTTCTGTTTTGAAACTTGATCTATGAAGTTCATCATCCATTCCAAAGAATAAACTCATCCATGTAATTTATGGATCAGTCTTCTTGACGTCATCAATGGCAATCACCAAAAACAAGGTGAAACTCCTAGTCCATGGAAAAAAGCCACGAAATTCTGTTTGCTGAAAGGAGCATATATAGACCTGTTAGTTGGCCTTTTTCACTGTCTTTTGCCTCTGAACTAGTGAAGTCTGAAGATACAATACAACTAATATGAAAAAGCAAATACAAAACAAAACGAATTGTAAATCTGGCTGTTGGTTTAGTTAATGAATGCCAACTAGCGGAAATAAATACATATTTATTCACTCATCCGTAGATTATATTACCTATGTATAGGTAATGACAGATTTGTAAATGTAGAGTTGCTTCGTGGTCGACTGATGATGCAGAGTCTCCAAGGTGACCCTCCACCTTCTTGATCCATTCACGATTGCCATTTTTGAATAATTTTGAATTTACGATACTTTTTTTATGAAGCTTATATCCCCTCAATGGCTACCAACAGCGCTAGCCTGAGTTTGAAGCTTCTGATTGACACAGAAAAAAGTTCTCTTCGCCGAAGATGGCAAGGATTTTGTTGATTTACACAGAAAAAATAGGCCCATTTTAATACAATGTTTAAGGCCACTTTACAAAACCTAACCCGTTATTTATATTAAAAATACAATGGTAAGATACTATTAAAAAATAAAATAAAAAATAGTTAGCATTAAATAAAAGTTTGAAATACTCATTAAATAAAACAGCATTAAATTATAGGGAGCCACTAGGAGTCCTTTCTCTCTCCTCAGATTTAGGAGCTCCTAGAGGACTCCCTATTTTAGGAGGTGGATAGGGAGTGTGGTTGGAGTTGCATTTTTACAATTTCTCCCTAAAATTTGTCTAAGGAGGTGGTTTATGGAGCCCATTGTGGATGCTCTTATATCCCCTCAATGGCTACCAACAGCGCTAGCGTGAGTTTGAAGCTTCTGATTGACACAGAAAAAAGTTCTCTTCGCCGAAGATGGCAAGGATTTTGTTGATTTTCTCTTCACCCTTCTGTCTCTACCCGTCGGCACTGTGATCGGGCTCCTCTCTAGAAAACGCAAGGTCGGTTGTTTAGGCAAACTCTACGACAACTTACAAAACTTAAACGACACATACTTGCAACCCAACCTCAACAAGGATGTCCTTCTAAAACCTAAGAAGCTGCCGATGCCAATTGGTGGCGCCCATCAACTTCTTCCTGCTTGACCGACAGTGAATCAAACGGTAAAAAGTTGTACACGTGTCGGTCATGTCAGCCGTCAAGCTACTCCTACTCTAGCGAGGTATGCTATGTGGCTGACGACCCTAAGGCCATTTGTCCAAAGTGCCATAACTTCATTTCCAAACCCACGACTTATGTTGCTCGGCCGACAGTTGCAGCCAGCGGCAAGGGAGGTGGGTTTGTGAGAGAAGCTGTGACTTAATTACATGATAACGGATGATATGGAAGTGAAGCCTATGTCTGCCATTTCAAGTATCGCTCTGCTTAAAAACTTCGATGTTAGGGATGTTCGTTCACTTGAAGAGATTGTGGTTCCTCTCGATAAGGATAAGGTTTGTGTTTATTAATTTTTTCCAACGTGATGAATTACCATTCTATATATTCAAATATTGTGATATTCTATAAGAATTTATGATGAAGAGCATTTTTGTTTAATTTCCTTGTTACGGTTTGAAATTGTTGAAAGGCATCGTTGCAGTCAAATGAAGTTATGACAAATATGTTCCTTTAAGCAACATTTCAAGTTGACATTTTGAAGCTTCTTTTGGAATGTTTGTTTTTGAATATGGATGATGTATCCTTTGTTTTACAAAATTAATTGGCTGAATTGGTTAAATATAATATATAAAAATAGTATGACCACGCTTTTATACTCCATGTTTTTTTTTTTTTTCAAATTAATAGTATAGCCGTGCGGCTATACTTATCAAATATAAAAATTAAGCCAGATATCTTCTTCTTCTTCCCAGCGTCGCCTTCTCCTTCCTCTCTCTGTCTGTCTGCCTGTCTCTCTCTCTCTCTCTCTCTCTCCGTCTTTCTTCCTAACAAGCAGCGAATCCTGCGAATTTCAACTGCCCTTCGTCCACGCCTCAGCGGCAAAACGCCGCCTAGGTCCGCCTAGAGCCGCCTAGACCTTCTTTGAGTGCCTAGAGTCTCCAAGAGCCGCCTAGAGC